CTCTAGATGAGACATTAAATTCGCTTGGTAACCAATGAATACTATTCGAGTCACCAATTTTACTAGCTTAATAAATACACCATTTACGGCAAACGAGGGAAATTTTTTCAATTTTTGAGGGTAATGTCTTCGGCTAGATACGATTTGTGATCTTTTAACGTATCGTTGAAAGAAATGGATTCTGTGAGAGCTGAGAAAAAGTGGTAACAGGCACAAAAAAAAAATATCATAGTAAAACTAATACCTTCTCGGCTTCGCATCGAAGCTCAAAGTGTCTGTTTTTATTCATTTTTAATGTTATTTGATAGTTATTAGTGGTAATTTAAAATAAGCTATTATCTTGGGTATGTTGATCAAAGTTTGGGGATTTAGTATATTCGTGAGCAACGAAGTTCTATCGAAGTTGTAGAGTCCGAGAATTTAGAACAATAAAGACAAGTAGATATAAAAAAAATAATTAAAGTTTCTCTTATAGATNTAAAAAAAATAATTAAAGTTCCTCTTATAGATGTGTTATACGCTAAGGTATTTTTGGAGTGACGAAGAGCTCCTCTGATATCAAGTCGAAGTATATGACCAAGCACTAACTAGTTATTAATAATCAATTTAAATAATTTATAAATCGACGTATTGCTTTACCGTTCTTTACTCAGATTATTAATTCTAATTAATTGGGATAATACAAGTTGACTCATTTCGTTTTTTGTTGCTATAAATTGTAATCCAAAGATAATTCGATAAACCATTCGATATATAAAGGTATCAAATTCGTTCTCGTCACAAAATAATAAATTTTCATTGTTAATGTAAGATATGAATTCAAAGCATTGAGCATATTACGACAGTGATGTAAAAATAAAAAACAGTAATATTTAAAATAATAACTTTTTAGAGAATATTTCTTTGGCTTTTGTTAGTTACATATGCAACTACATTTATCTTTTATAAAATATTTTTTATTTTCATCACTTATGTCTTGTAGGGGTATCAACTTATTTTTTTTGAATAGAAAAACATATTTTTTAACTAGCTTATAAAACAGAAAATGACGTATTTTTTTGTTTTAGAAAAACATTATTTTTTCAATAATTAATTACTTATTTAGTCTTTTTTTTTTATTTTGACTTATTTAATTACATTAACATTAATAGCGTTAAAGAAAGTCACCCATTAGTAACACCTCAAATAAAGCATGAAATATATAAATTATTACAGATTAATTTATATATTTCATGCTTACTTATTAATAAACAATAACATAGTAAGAATGAGACAATGATGACTATTGAATATATGAATTTTTTTGACTTATTTAATTACATTAACATTAATAGCGTTAAAGAAAGTCACCCATTAGTAACACCTCAAATAAAGCATGAAATATATAAATTATTACAGATTAATTTATATATTTCATGCTTACTTATTAATAAACAATAACATAGTAAGAATGAGACAATGATGACTATTGAATATATGAATTTTTTTGACTTATTTAATTACATTAACATTAATAGCGTTAAAGAAAGTCACCCATTAGTAACACCTCAAATAAAGCATGAAATATATAAATTATTACAGATTAATTTATATATTTCATGCTTACTTATTAATAAACAATAACATAGTAAGAATGAGACAATGATGACTATTGAATATATGAATTTTTTTTTTAAAGTATTTTTTGTTCTTATTGTTTTTAGCATTAAAAAAAAAATAAAGTAGGTAAGTAAGTACCAATATTTTACGTTATAGTACTACTATAGATATACGTAATGTAATAATTTAATTTATTTTCATAGTATTAACAATTTTAAAAATATTTAGTTAGTATCACTGACATAAACGAAGGGGCTTCAATATCAATTACAATTTCAAAGGAAATTAAGTGTTTGAACTATTTATCTTTAAGTATTTAAAAAATAAGTAAGAATTTTTAATGAGTAATTTAATGTATTTATTAGATTAATATGTCTGCTATTGCATTAAAATTGTCAAGTTTTTTACTTTAAATGCCGATGCATGTGAATAAAATGTCAAATGTTGTGTGGACATTCAGGTATCTATGAAATAATTATTAGTCATAACATTAGTATGATCTTCATCCATGTATAGATAAATGCATTTTTCATTTTTCATATTAATTTCATTATAGTTTGGCCATCCTTTTCGAAAGTATGTCCATGCATCATATTCTTTTTTGAATACATAAATACAGACATCTAAGTAATAAGCTGCAGCAAAAATTACGAATTCAATATAAGGGTTTTTGTTAACTGTAAAAAAACAAATAAATACAATTAATTTAACTGTGTTTATCATGGATTAATAATAAACATGTAGTATTTATAATAAATCATGACTACTACGTTTATTTTTTATTTCTTAATTTTCTAAAAGTATTTTATTAATTATTTATTTTCTTTATAGTTTTTACACGATCCACAAAATTGAAAAATAATGATGATTCCTTTTAATTTAAGTTAGTTAATCCTAAGAGTACCAAATCTGAAATTAGTATCTCGTGATATTAATTATGATTTAATATCAAGTATTGAATAATTACATTATAATATAAATAAATAATACATAAATAATTGAATAATTATTTCAGATACGTCTGGCGTGTAAAGGATAATGAATTTTGGAAAAACGTTTTTTTTTCAGAATGTATTGAATGTTGTTGAGTTTGGTTCAATAGACTCTACAATTTCATATAGTCTATTAATCTTTTTAACACGCTTATATTAGTTTCACGTGTTTGTTTGTTGTNTATAGTCTATTAATCTGTTTTATTTGCAATGTTTTTCATTCAGATACTAATGATAATATAAAATCGCGTATTGAAATCTTAGATGTCATTATTTCATATATGTCGGACGTCTAAAAAATGTTAAATTTTGGATTTTCTTAAAAGTAGAACAGACAATAATGTGTTTCAGTTGACATTATTATACATTTAATTGTTTTTTGTAATAGTTTTCAATAAAAATTATCACACTGAACAGTACTTTAAAATATAATTATAACAATACAAAATNGTATATGTTAATATTCATTTATATATTCCTACAGCCGACGCCTCTGCTGCCGTATATGCCTCGTGTATAATGTTCCCTCCGCCATGCCCGCCCACATAAACACGGCTATACCTCATGCATGATACGTTTACGTACCTAAGTCCCTTTAAATATATATATATATATATATTCTAATTACTATTAAAACTTATATATTAATACGCTTAATTCTCATTAAGAGATATATAGGGTATTTATTCCGATTACAAAGGATGATTCCCGTATCGTTATTTTTCGTCACTACCTCCACGTTACGCGCCTGCTGCTTTCTTTGGATGTGGTAGCCGTTTCTTAGACTCCCTCTCCGGAATCGAACCCTTATTTCCCGTTACCCGTTACAACCATGATATTGATATTAACTACTATCATAACATGAAACTAAAAAGTGAAAAATAAATATAGTTTAAAAAAACTAAAAAACACGCTTTTAAAGCGTGTTTTTTAGTTTTTTTAAACTATATTTATTTATTTGCAATGTTTTTCATTCAGATACTAATGATAATATAAAATCGCGTATTGAAATCTTAGATGTAATTATTTCATATATGTCGGACGTCTAAAAAATGTTAAATTTTGGATTTTCTTAAAAGTAGAACAGACAATAATCTGTTTCAGTTGACATTATTATACATTTAATTGTTTTTTGTAATAGTTTTCAATAAAAATTATTACACTGAGCAGTACTTTAAAATATAATTATAACAATACAAAATTAATATGAATAAATTTTTCTAATTTTGAGTAGAAAAATAGTTTTTCATTTTTGAAACCGCTTATTCAATATACGCCTTTTTAATGGCTGACCCTGCGTTTAAAAAAAAAAAACTTATAACCTGTACTTTTACCTGAATTCATAAGTGAAAACTTTAAAATATTTAATTAAATGAATTCTAAGTATCATCGTAATTATCAGGTAATATTTATGTATAAGCAAATAAAATTTTAAGTATGATTCATACCTGGTGTTATATTATTTTCAAACCAACTGTCATTATTAACAAATTTTTGGATATCTTCATTTTTTGTTAGATTCTAATTACATAAAAATATTAAGTTTTCAATGAAAAATAATATAAAAACATGGCAAATATATTACTGCTTACTTTTATAATATTTCTATGAATATTATGATTAATTTTAATGTCCCTGCATATTAATTCTGACAATACAATAAAGAATCCTTGGTTATCAAAAAAAAACATCAACTGGAAACATGTTTGATGTTAACTTCTGATTCATAATTGGTTCCTGATAAGTAAATCCCAAACTTTTACATTTTTCTCTACACCATTCTTTATCCACTGGTTTATAATAAAATGGTAGATCTACATATTCTATTACAAATTCTACATCCTCATCACTTATAATTTCACATCTCCATGGAATTGTAACATACTGTAAATTAAATAGCAAAGATATTTCAAAGAATATTAGAGTTATCTATATTCAACAATCTAATTTTTAATCAAAATATTTGATTGCATTTTTTTCACTAAATTCAATAAACTTTAAATAAATTTACCTCAAAAAGCCACCAAAAATTACTATAAATATATTTTGTAGTAATTTCTATGACTTTGTGAGTTAAATATTAGCTATAATTTATCAATTTTTATTATAGATATTTACATTATTAGAAATAATTAACTTGATGCTGAAAAGAAAAAAAACAATCACGTTTGTCATTAAAAACATTTTTTTCTTTTTTCAAGTTTAAACTACCTTATCAATATAATAAGTTTCAGTAAAAATCTTTAATAGTACTTACATATACATATAATTA